CATGACCGAGACACCGTCACAACATGATTGGGACACCATCACAACATAACCGGGACACCATCACAAGGTGACCGGGACACCAGCATGACATGACGGGGACACCATCACAACATGACCGGGACACTATCACAACATGACCGGGACACCGTCACATGACCAGGACACCATCAAAACACAACCGGCACACCGCCAAAACATGACCAGGACACCATCACAACATGACCGGGACACCATCAAAACATGACCGGGACACCGTCACAACATGAGCGAGACACCATCACAACATGACGGGACACAATCACAACATGACCGGGACACCATCACAAGGTGACCGGGACACCAACATGACATGACGGGAAAACCATCACAAGATGACCAGGACACCATCACAACATGACCGGGACACCGTCACATGACCCGGACACCATCAAAACATAACCGGCACACCGCCAAAACATGACCAGGACACCATCACAACAGGACCGGGACACCATCAAACATGACCGGGACACCGTCACAACACGACCGGGACACCATCAAAACAGGACCGGGACACCATCACAACATGACCGGGACACCATCAAAACATGACCGGGACACCATCAAAACAGGACCGGGACACCATCACAACATGACTGTGACACAATCAAAACATGATCGGGACACCATCACAACATGACCGCGCCACCATCACATGATCGGGACACCATCAAAACATGACCGGGACACCTCACAACATGACTGGGACACAATCACAACATGACCGGGACACCATCACAAGGTGACATGACATGACGGGAAAACCATCACAAGATAACCAGGACACCATCACAACATGACCGGGACACCGTCACATGACCCGGACACCATCAGAACATAACCGGCACACCGCCAAAACATGACCAGGACACCATCACAACAGGACCGGGACACCATCAAAACATGACCGGGACACCGTCACAACACGAGCGGGACACCATCAAAACATGACCGGGACACCTCACAACATGACGGGGACACCATCAAAACATGACCGGGACACCATCAAAACAGGATCGGGACACCATCACAACATGACTGGGACACAATCAAAACATGATCGGGACACCATCA